AATGTTTAGAAAACAATAAGAATGGTTTCTCTAATTGGCACAAACCCAAAACATTTGGCCAAAACGGAATATATTTTCAACATAATCTTGGGTAATTCAGATGACACTCCGCCCCCTCCCCCATCCGTCGCCTCGTCTGAATTCTGCTGCATTTGCAACTTAATTACCAGCCTCCGGCATTTTCATTAGCTTACGAGACAATTTATTTGCAGAACGAAACTTTGCAGCGAAAGAAAGTGCGCCGCCCCTGATTGTCAAAGTGACGTCGAAAAGGCAAAGTTCAAAGTTCGGGCACTAATGATGATAATTTTTCGCAAGCAAAACTTAAACAACTGTCGCGCAGCGGAGCAGAGCAGAGCAGAGCGGCACAACTTTGCAACGGCAGCTTTGCTGCAGCACAGCATCCAAGAGGCAAGAGTCAAGAGGCAAGAGGCAAGAGTCAAGGCGAGGCAATCAAAATTATTAATTTAGGAAAACGAAACGCGCTCGAGCAGGCCAAATCCGAAAGGTAAATCTGGCGATAAATTCTGTGCAATTATTTTTGTTTCATTTCATCCTTTGAGCAATCTGCAATCTGCGGCGGCAGATGGCGACCGACGTGTTTTTTTTGCACGCCGGCCCGCCTGATTGATATGCAGGATAGTCAGAGGGCATTGCAGGTCCGTATCGGGTTGCGGGCGCGGACAATAAGTATCTAAAGAAGCATCCACCCGCCCATCCATCTGTCCACCCATCCATCCGTCCATACCTGGGGGCCTCATCAGCATGGTTTGGTTTCCATGATTGCAGTCAGTGCACGTCGGTCTGGAGACGCGGCGCGTCATCAGTTCCTTTGACATGTCCTCCGGCCATTAATACGAAGGAGATACGACTACGAGGCATCCAAGACGAGGTCGTGTGTGTCTGCGCGCTTCCGTTTTGCCTTCCGCTTTTCAATCCCCAGCCTCCTGGCAGCCACCAGCCACCAGCCCCCAGCCCCCAGCCCCCAGCTACCTCTGAAATTAACCTGCCCCCAAGTGGCTGCCTCCCACACGGCGCCCACACGACGGGGTTGGCAAATTTCCAATCGCAGACGGAAGCATTTCCCCAGTCATCAGGCAACAGCGGAAGCCCGGACGAGGCGAGGCGCCTCCTCCACTGGAGCTCATTAAAAATGCAGCAGTGCCATGAGACAGAAGCAAGGCTCAGCCGAGACTCCGGACTCCGCCTCATCAATGTCTCTGCTTATTGCATAAAATGCCATATTAATGGCTGTCAATATTGATACTACTCATAGTTATAGTCATCGACATATGCCCAGGCCTAGGCATCGTCATCCACAGCCACTTCCACTGCCACTGCCACAGACATGGCCATAGCCATAGCCACAGCCACATCCATATCGCCATCCTCTGGACAAGTTCTTTGTGTGCGCCAGGCTTGGGTTAACATTATTATACAGAAGGCAGAAGGAGTACCCAGGGTCCTCCAGGGTATATCGGGGCTGCACGAGGAAGTTGCAAGACCATAAATTATGCACATATATCCCTCAGATACGTATCCGTTGCAGCGGCGGACAATGTGTTCAGGAGCTTTGGGAGGAGTCAAAAGGGAGCTATTGGGTATCCCGCATTCGATCACCATTAAACACATCCTGGCTGCCACAATTTCTGTAGCCAGATGTTAGATTTGCTTCGATACATGCTTCGATGATGGCTCTCTCTGTTCTGTGGCTTTGGCATATCCTTTTCCACATAACCCCCATCCTGATGCTGCCTGACTGCTGCCTAACTGCTGCCTGGCTGCTGCCTGTTGCTGGTTTTTGTGGCCCTTTCAATTTGGGCGTGGCCCCACTACACACCATTCAAAGTTATAATTATGTTGATTGGCATATGCATTTCATTAGATGATGGACCTGAATGGAATGCACTCAATCACAAACCGAATTCCCAGAGACAAAAGCCAGATGATAAATTCATACGGAAGTCTTGTGGAGTTTGTTTCGGTTTCCATAATTTGTCAATTGCAATCTGCTCCTCCAGTTTAATGAATTAGTTTTGGCACTTAATTTGCAACGCAGCCAGCCCTTTAAGCTGTACTCGTACAACCCAAAATCAATCCCAAGCCCAATCCCAATCCCAATCCCAAGCCCAAACCCAAGCCCAAGCCCCACTTCAATGTTTGCCGATTGCCAGTCTCTCCCAATATTAGTACAACATAATCACTCTACACACTCTACGACGAGGCATAGAGACTACAATATACATATGTTCCGAATACATACGACTATGTGTCCGTTTCGACCCCAAACGACAAACTAGTCCCCGACTATTCCCCCATCAACGGCCATGGCAGCACCACCAACTCCACCAATACCACCACGCAGGGGCAAAAGTGTAAAAGTCAATAGGAAAACAAAGGAAAATTCCCAAAATAAAATCAACAGAAGCTTTTCCAAATATTTTGGCAAAAGTGGAAAAGCGAGAGAAAGATGGCGGCGTATTAATCAAATAAATGCATTTTGATTATACAAACAGCGCGAAAGTTTGGGGCCTGCTGATGTGCCTGCCACACACACACACACACATACACTGTGTGCTGGCCCTCCCCCCTCACCATCGCCCACACCCACTCCCTCTCTGTAGCTGTCTCTGGGAAAAAACTGATTTCGAAAGTTACGATCCTAAGCCCCGTGCAGTAGCTGGCAAAATCCATTAAACTTTTACGACTATTGTAAACATTAACTTGCATATGCATTTTATGTGCAGAAAGGGGCCGCGCGCTCCGGCGGGGGCATGCAATACTTTTTAGCGCCGCCATTTAAAACTTGCCCCATTGACGGGGAGAGTCAGAGTCCTACGAGAGCCGGAGAGGCGGAGACCCGGAACGAGTGCATAGGGAGTGCGTATATCAGCATCCTCAGACATTGTAACCAACTGAGATTTGATTTTTTGAGCGGAAATGCGAATGGGAACGGGAACGGGCACGGGCACGGGAACGAGAACGGGCGGAAGTGTGGAAAGTGTTTGGGAAATCTGGCAGGCTGGCAGCAGGCACTCAGACAGCCAAAGGGCGGTCTCCGTTCAAGAGTGGGCCTCTGTGTGGCATCCTAGACAAGGAAATGTTAAGTTTATTTACTGTGAATTCCGAATAGTAATGGCGATGGGGGTACTACGATGGGATGCATGGACAATAATGCCACTGGGATGTCATATTTCTGCAATTTATCGATCCTTTAAAATACACACTTCAATGGGATGGTGTTATCCTCGATGATGCTGCCAGCCCCGCTGTTTGGCCCCGTTTAATGCTCATTTCGGATCAAAAGTATCTTTTGTTGCCCATCGTGTCATCAGCTGCATCCATAAAATGATAATTTATGGCAAATTTATAATGTTGTAAGTGCCAACAAACTTGCTGTAACTATCCATAAAAGGTCGGACACGCCACCCACTGTGCTGGAGGCTCCCTCGATTCCACTTTCCAACTCAAATCCGAGGCTGCGTCTGTGCTCGTAAAGCAACTTGGCCCAAACCATAGATAAGAGTGGGGTGTCGGGTGCTCTGCTGGTGCTGGTGCTGGTGCTCGGGCTGGTGCTCGGGCTGGTGCGGGCATCAACATCGGATGGGTGCATGGATGTATAGGAAGGGCAGCCGCAATGGCATCTAAAGGGCACACACCAAAGGCGTCGCTGCATAAATATTACAAAATCGTAAATACACACGCTCCATGCCGACGACGCTTTGGAGAGTGCCAGAGTGCGAAGCCATTCGCACAGTTGCAGCTACTACTAGTTACAGATACGGATATAGATACAAATACAGATACAGATAGATACAGATACAGATACACACACAGTTTGAACTTGGTTGGGCACTGCTGCGGTGTCATCGAGGCAATCTGCCTATGAAGGCTACACACATGTCTCCATCTGTGACACCCTTCTCCCGAACCCAAGCCCAAGAGTCAATTTGTACATTTACCCTTAGTATAATGATCATTGGTTAATCAACATTCCGATGTTAGTAAAGGACCAAACGATGCACTTTTTGGTGGCGGAACTCCACTAGATTCCGAGTTTAACTGATCCTTTTGTTGCTGATTTGATCCAAAGCAAAGTAATTTCCCCTGCATTTTACCAGCAAATCAGCTGTTTTGTTGCAACGACATATATATATTGAATATCTATATTGAATGTTGTGCCAAGGGCTATCCAGGGTGCTAAACGTTCGCATATCCGGCACGCAGCTCTTTCATTTTTGCCCTTTCGCCACAGCTCGTCAGATGGCCAAAGTGGCCAAGTCCGAGGTCTGAGGTCCGACTCCGAGTCCGAGTCAAAAAGCAAAGCTTGGAGCTGCATGGCTCGTTTTTTGTTCTAATTTTGAGTTTCGGCTGCGCTTCGCCCATTGTGGGCCGTGCCGTCAGTTAGCTCTTCTATGGGGCCTATTCGGTTTTGGAATAGAGGGCTTTGGGAGTGGGACTTGGCTCCTGTCATGTTGCAGAGTCCTAGGCATTTTATTTATGCGTGAAATGCTCTCAAATCTCCAAACTTGCATCGTTCCGTCCGGTCGTGTGTGGCTGCGTGTGTGGCTGCGTGTGTGTGTGTGTGTCTGGGGTCCACTTCAACGTCCGGAAATTAAAACTTTTTTATGGCTCTGGCATTTTGTGTGTAAATAAAACTCGAAATTTAAATATGTGTATGTGTGTTGCTAAATAAATTGGTCAGGGCAATAAATTTCTAGAGCACACCCAGCGCCAAACTAGTTCAAGAATTTCTGGCCAGAGCATAAAAGCTATGAGCATTACAACATTTTTGTAAACGATTTGCACATTCGCATTCCCTCAAAAAATCAGGAAGATCATCACACATTCCGTAGATTTACAGGAGAGCTCTCTGTCCTGTACTGTCCTCTCCTGCTGCAATCCATCTATTTTCTAGCATGGTTTTTGCTCCTTAGACTAGAAGTTATTATCGAATGTAACAACGTGCTGGGCTGATTGAAAAGCTATCCGCCGATCCTTATAGATAACACTCGTAATAAATTATGCTCCACTCACCACTCCTTTGTCGATTCAATCATATTTGAGCATGCGGCATGCGGTCTATTGCGGCGCTCATTTCTCTGCGATGAGCAGCAGTATCTTGTTCATCAACTCATTGGCCACAGTCTCATTGAGGGTGTTCAGTCGGGCTGCCAGAAAGTCTCCGAATTTCATGTAGAGCAGTTCCCTGGGGCTGGGCAGATGCCGGGACTGGGAGCGCCCGCCTCCTACCGCACCCACTCGCGTGTAGCTGCTGCCTCCGGGCGAAAAGCGGCCGTCGGGCCCCATCATATCCACATCTACCACTGGGGAGTAGCGGCCTGTCTCGTCGTCATCCTCGTCGTAGTCATCCAGATCCTCGTCCAGGTCCCCAGCATCGGCATCGATGAGCTCGTTGTTCGCGTTGATGATGAGACGTGGTGGGGACGTGGCGTAGATCGAGGCGCTCTTGGGTGCCGGCACCTGCAGGCGCGCCTTCAACTGCTGCTTGGTCTGCGGACGAATGGTGGCCAGCTTTGTCCCGCTTCCCAGCCCGTCCACATTCTCTGGAGAGCCTGGCTCGTCCTTGATGTAGATGGAGGGCGAGGAGCTGCAGGAACGTGAGCTGGACAGCACCTGGGCGGGAGATGCAGGCGCGGCGGGCACTGCGGATGCTGTCGCGGACGGCGGCTGCTTGGGAATGGCACTCAACGAGGTAAGCGTCACATCCGGCTGCAGCTGGAGGGCCTGCAAATGTTGGGCCTGTGGCAGCAGTGCGGCAGGCAGTTGGCTGAGGCTGGGCAGGATGGTTGCAGGATTCGACACTGACGTGACGTTGGTCTTTGGCTGCGGCAGGGCCAGAGCCTGCGGCTGCGGCTGCGGCTGATTGTTGGGATTGTTGGGATCGCTTGGGGCAAAATATTGGTATTCATCCATTGCCACGCTGTTGTTGTTGTTGCTGTTCGAGTTGTTGTTGTTGTTGTGGTTGTTGTTATTGGTAGAAATTGACCTGGTGGCAGGATCAGTGGGGCCCTGCTTAACGCGCTCCCGGGATCTGCAAGAGAAAGAGAAAGTGTAAGTCGCAGCTCCTAAAGCCTCCTCAATAAAAAAAAAGCTTACTTCCGCTCTCGTATCACCTCCTTGAGAAAGGCCATGGCATCGTAGTACTCCCACTTGGACTTGAACCGCGTGGTGCCCAGCATCTTCTCGTGGTTCAGCTCCCGGCGGAAGATCTCCCGCAGGGAGGTGAAGGTCCGCTGCACCCGCTCGCCGGTCACGTTGAACATGCGCCCCAGCTCGTTCCACTTGATGGCCTTCTTCTTGTCGGAGCGCTTGTAGTGTGGCAGGCGGCAGTCCCACAGGATGGGATTCAGGCGCACTAGCTCGATGAGTCGGCGCTTTTCAATGTTGTGGCGCGAAAAGGCCATTTCGGGCTGGCTCTCTCTTACGACTTTGGCGCGCTCCCTTAATCCCTCTCTCGGTGCGCTCTCTTAGGCGCTATTAACGTTAACTTCTGACGTGCTACCACTACCAAAATGGTGTTTGCGCATGTCCGACTTTTGGTACACTTGTCGGTGAGAGTTGTTCGAGTGCCCGCTCGCGCGTGTGTGTATGTGTGTGTGTGTGTGTGTGTGTGTGTATGTATGTGTTTGTTGGCCCACTGCGGTGGGATGCTGCTGCACGGATGCTGCTGAAAGTAGGAGGGAAAGAAGTGAAGTGAGAAAATCGTTAATATTAGTTTATGCCCTGATGGTCCATGGCCGTTGCATACTTTTCGGCGCTCTTCTTGAGTCCCGAAAGGGTAAGGGTCGTCGCCGAGGTCCTTGAGGCTGGTTAGGGAGTTCAATGAACCTAAGCCTGAACCTGGAGAGAGTTCGAGTCCTGGGCGCGAAGGTGGGTTTATATTTGTTTTAGAAATAAATTCAATTGACTTTGGGGGGAGCAGTAGATGATTGAGATAATAAACAGTAGAAAACAATGTAAATATTAAATTGATTACGAGCAAAATCAAATGATAGAACAATAGCTGGAAAATTCGCTCTAACTCGCCTTCCATCCAGGTGTACTGACTGTACCGTACCACCTGAGGCACTGTTTCTGTTTCTGTTGGCACACCAAACCCGCAAATCTATATTTTCCACTTGTATACAAATCGAAGTACTCTGTGAGTTGGCTGAAATCAAAAACCCCGCCGCAATCGTATAACATAAACAATTGTGTGTGTTTGTGTGTGCGTGTGCTGTTGTTTCTGCGAATCCGAGTGATTCGACATGGAACTATTTATTTATTTATTTGGTTATCTTATAAGAACTTTTTGCTTACGAGAGCGAGGCTAGAAAAGAGTCTAACTGCGCTAGAGGCATAGCAAAAGCTATCTCCTGAATACTGCCAAGAGAAGGATCTCTACTAGTTCTACTAATCATTGGAAATCGACCAGATCGGATCGACTGAATCCTCCTATATCAATCAAAGGAATGTTCTGGCATAGGCAGGAACGATCCTCCACTCAAACCAAGCTCTTTTTTTAAATATTTCCCTTTGATTCTCGTCTTGAATGCACTTTGGAAGCAGTCTTTTTGTTTCTTTTCTTTTTTTTTTTGTTCTTTGCCAATTTCATTTACTTATTTTCAACGATGCTGCAATGCACATACGAGTCTTCGTACACTTGTTCGGGCACACACTTTAGTCTAAAAATAAATGTATTTGCCACGCATTTGCCGCTGATACCAAAAATCGAGAAACACAACTAAACGCAAATTTACGAACTGGCGAACGCATTTGCTGATTATTTGCAACTCGAGAAAAATCTCTCTCTTTAAGGGGGATTAGGGGCGGGAGGGCACCCCACATTCAATTAGCTTTTTAAATATTTTTTGTTTTGGAATAAATGCTTGCCTGATTTCGGGTTCGGGTTGGTTTTATTTGAATATTTCGACTGGGTGGTTCACTGTTTTGTTTATGCTGGTGATTCGGTCGTTGTTGTTGCCGTTGATGCTGTTGCTGTTGCCGCCGCTGCTGCTGCTGCTTTTCTTTATTAACAATATGAGCAGCAAACGTTGTGGAATTTATTTCAATTTATTTCAATTAACAACGTTGTTGTGGCCGCCGCTGCCGCTGGTGCCGCTGCTGCTGCTGCTGTGTGCGTCAGTCGTCGCCGTTGCTGCCACTTATTGGGGGATGGATGCTATGCTGGCTGTTTGTTACTGCTCGAAGGCCTTGCAACAACTATTTGCTGCCACCACACAACGCACACAGAAATCTCCAAACGAGGTTCGGCAACACGGCAAAATTTACCGCACACATATGAAAATACATACATAAGTATTATTGTACTTATGTGTATGCAAGTATGCGTGTGAGTGCTTGCCAATGTGTGTGTACACATATTATTTAAGCGGGAGCGAGAGAGCCCGCAGCAGCAAGCTCATTTCCACAATTTAAAACACGGGTATTTCGTGTTTCGTATTTCCAAACTTTGGCTTAGTTTTCAGTTGTCAGTTTTCACCACTTGGTAGTTGGGTTTGTCCATTTGCCACTTCACTGTGCTGCTAGCTGCTGCTACTGTTGCTGCTGCTGCTGCTGCTTTTGCTGGTAGCTGCCACTTTCTGCTGCGTGTTGGCAACTCTTCCTTGTCGGAGTGTGCTCTCTCCTCGATGCGATTTTCACAACTTGCCCACAAAAACCAACTGTAAACGAACTAAATTTTCTTGCAAATTGGCGGCGCAGCAGCCAGCCTCTGCGAGAGCGCAGAGCAACAATTGCTTGCTCGCTCTCTGTCTCTCTCTCTCTCTCTCTCTCTCGCGCGCGTGTTAGTGCACAAAGAGAGCATCCCTCTCTGAGGATGCTATTGTTGTTGTCGTTGTTGTATTGCTGTCCCTCTCTTCGGTGGGTTGTAAACAATCCGAGAAGAGAGAGAGAACTTTGGTAAAACACACATTTTCGCAGTTCGCAGTTGGTTCTCTTATCGACGCCGTTTGTGGCAGCAGTGGCACGTTTATCGCCGCTCACTCTTGTGGTCTGTGAGTAATTCCAAAACGCTGATTAATATGCCGCCCGATAAGCGCGGGGTAACATCAACAGTCAACAGATTCGTCGCCAATAGCCATCCATGGTATTCCTGAACGAGATTTGGCTTGGTTTTGGTTTTGCTTTTAAGATTTCGTTGATCAGCTGTTTCAAAGCTGTTTCTGTAGTACTTTTGGTATTTAGATTTGATTTGGATTTCCGGGATCAAATTTTCGAAAGCAAGATGCTGATGACGGGTACGTTTTATGTACGTGTTAGATACCGGACACACCGTCGAATTGTGTCCAGTTACTTGAGCGTCGTGCACATGTTCTGTCGACGACATTTTTCCGACTATTGTCTGTCCCCATGGGCACTCTAAGTACAATACCTATATAAGTATTTGTATGTTTATATGTACATATGTATATGTATTTTGATGCATTTTGGTGTTGAAACGTTAACCCACCTGATTTTTTATTGGCTTTTTGTATACAAAAATGATCTTTTTTCATGCTTTTCCAATCCATAAACATCTGATCGGATAAAAAGCTGTTCATATCTATGTATGTAGATCATTCCAGCAACTAAATAATTTTTCGGATTAGTCGGAATCACGGATACCTCTACCATGTTCGATACACATACATAAATTGGGTGCAAGAGCACTCGTACTTAAAACAAAGAGGGGGATATTCGGCAGCTTCTACTCGAACCTTATCAAGAGCTCGACTCAAACAAATAAACAAGACAAAGCCATTCGAACTAGATTACGAAATCGAAAAGGGCTCCGCGCTCCCCCGCGCGGCAAGAGGTCCAGTAAATTAAACAAAAGAAAATCGATAGAACCCAAAGATTGGCATAAGACGCTGCCTCAAACAACACCAACAAACGTACCCGTGGAGGAGATAGAGATACCGAACAACAGAGAACAGAAACAGCAATTGTACTACAGTGGAAACAGGCGTTGAAGCAACAGCTGAGGATAGTTTGGCGAGAGATTTAGGAAGAGAGAGCGATTGACTGCAGAGAGCAAGAAGGGTTGAATGATATGGTGGATATTGGTAGCTAGAAATTTGTGGAGACAGACCCAATCTGCATCCACGCACGAGCAACCGTTAACAATGGTGGAACACAGTTTCCAGAGAATGAGCGAACGAATGTTCTCTCTCTCACTACTTTGCATTTATCATCCAGATATTGTTCCGTTGTGGACGCTGTGGATGCTGTGGATGTGGATGTGGATGTGGATGGTGGAGCCGACATTTAACAATGCTTACAAATACTCGTGCAAACAGAGAAAAAGAGACAGAATCGCACTCACTCGCAGAGACACGCTCTCTCTCACATGCGGGTAAATATTCAATTTGCCACCGACTGCTGCAATCAACTTTATTACAGTAGAGCCTCACCCATACGATTATCCCCCACACATTATAGGGATTAGGCAAACAGAAAGCTTTCGAATTGAAATTTCAGAAGTAAGGAAACGGTCAATAGGGACCCCATCAAAATTAGATTTCAATAGATCAGATAAACTTCATTAAAATCAGATCTCTATACCATACAGAAACATAAAAGCGATAGCTCCTTAGTACTCGGCAGACACCCTTTTGCTTCGGGTTGAGATATTTCAAGCTAGCTCAAAAAAGTTGTAGTGTTTATATGAAATATTTATATACAGAGCCGAAGCCCTGATAATTTGTGAGGTTTTACTGTACTCGCTGGCGTTGTTGCTCTTGTTTACTTATTTTTGTCGCCCGTTGGCGTCGTCTCCCGTTTGGACATCTGAAAAATAAGCTTTAAAAACACTCTGATATTTATCAATCGCAGTTCTGTGGGCCAGTCACTCACCCGCACCCGCACCCACACCCACACCCACACCATGCACCATCACTATTCGATTTGACTTATCAATATTCTCGTGTTTGGATGGACTCCCGACGCTCACACCATCCCATCCATCCCTTCAACCATCCAGGCAGCCAGAGACGAACACGGTCCACAATTGAAATTAAATCAATTACTGCAATGTAAATCTGTGGCAAGCAAATATTTTTCGGCTCGCTCGCTTGCCGTTCCGTGTGTACGATATTAATGGAGCAGCAACAAGATGTCACAGAAATGACAAATTGTTTTGCAACGATAAGATCTGGGAAGGGAATTACACAAATATGAATGTAGTACGTACGGAAAATAAGCTGAAAACCGCACAATTTGGCCAAATTCCCATTTAATGGAGTCAACAACATATTTGCGAAAAATTCTTTGAACCTAATTCGAGAATGTTTTCAATCCATTAGGAGGAAATTGCATTGGTTAGGCATTGTCCAGTGTCCCATTGAAATATTCGGGGCGAAAGAATTTGTGAAATGACAATCGAATGAGACCAGAGACCAGAGACAGACACAAGAATGGTATGGAGATGGTTATGGAGAGTGCTATAAACATTTAATGGGCCTCTTAAATCAATGAAACAATTTGCCTGCTAATTTCATTGTTGCCACTTGTAATTGCATTTGTAATTGGTGCGTCAAACGAGTCGAATATCTGGGCCTCAGAGGCGGCCATGCGACAGGCCGTACGACAGAAAGTTAATCAAGATGTTTATCCAATGAAAGTCCAATTAATAAAATCAAACTCGAAATACTCAAAGCTCATTAATGCAAAGAGATTCCTTTGGCGGCCTGTATCTGTCATTTGGCTGAACGTCAAGCGGATGGATGGCCCCCACGGCCGACGCATGTGGATTAGGCGGAGGAAGTCGGTGGAGATAATATTTAAATGGTTTTTTAATGGAAACAGTTGCCAGTTGGCAGTTCTGCTCTTGTGCTCTTCTGCTCTTCTGCCAGACACAGACACACTTTGGAGAAGGAAGAGCGAGAAAATCTCTGACAAAGAAGATAAGCAACAGAAAGCGAGCGAGCCCCTGCAATCAGAGTGCGACTGCCAGCTGGTCGTCCCCCACGTCACCGGGCCCGGGGTTGCCTCATCCGCTTATGTGTCGGAATCGGAATCGGGGGCGGAGGCGGGGGCGGTGGCGGAGCTAGGGAGCGGGACCCAAGCCGCTTTGGCCTTAAATACTTCACCTCAATTTGCTCTGCTTTGGCCCTGGACCGGACCGCTTTGCTTTGCATTGCTTTGCTCTGCTCTCGAACGGAGAGTCGTAAGTGGCTAAGAGGCGCAATTGAAATGGCCTGCACCCTGTCGCATCGAGTGCATGATGCACGGCCTCGACCTGGGTCAAGCCATTCGCATTCGCATTCCTTGTGTTTGGCGTATGCCGCACAAGAACCATAATTTTAAATATTTCACAAGTTTGCTGCTCGAAAAGTTTTCCGCTTGGCCAAAAAGTTTGCTGCATCTGGCCTTTTTGCATGTTTGACTTTGACGATTTTTCTTGCCTCTTGCCTGGTTCTGGCCAATGCCAATCGCTACTAATTGGGCCAGAAAGTGAAGTAAATTTGCTGAGCAAAACAGAGCAGAACAGAGCAGAGGCGAGCAGGCCAGATTAGACCTGCCTGCTGCCCATTAAAAGTGTGCTCTTCAAACGGCAACGAAAGATAGCATGGCATCCCATGCCGCATGCCGCATGCCGCATGCCCCATGGCAGCTTATCAATATCAATTAGCAATGCATGTGCCTGGCTTTTAGCCTTAGCCTTTTGCCTGGTATCTCCAGAGATGGCAAACCTCTTTCACGGATGAGAAGGAATCACCACCTGTCCCAGAGGAGTACGCGTGCTCAACCTCAACCTTTTGGTGGCTAATTTCAATCTATTATGAAATGAATATTCATTCAACTTGAACTCGTCGATAACCTTTTCTGGCCTGGCCCTGAGACCCAGACCCAGACCCGTGGACGGATTCGTGGCGTGCCCGAACCATCAGCTTTCAAGAGTCAAGCGCTCAATTACGTAACTTTATGTTTGGCGCACAAAAAAATGTTTTATTTACTCTTTTCCCGCTGGTTCTGTTTCTGGTTCTGGTTCTGGTCCATGGATCCGACAAGCGACCAAGGACCATGGACCGCTACAATATTGTAATTTGGCTGCCAGTCCGCAAAGGGAACCAAAGAAAACAAAGAAATCAGAGGAAAAATCAACTTTGTGCAAATAAATGCAAAATAATATTACGAAAAGTTGACCGTAAAAAGATGCTGGAGCAGTCGAGCAGCCTGTCGAGGAGTCGAGGAGTCGCGGAGTCGGTTCCGAGGGGGGGGAGTCGTTGCACTTTGAGTGGATGGTGGATGCTGGTGCGCCTAAAAGAGCACACTTCATTTCTAAATAGAATTTCGCCCCGTTTTGGCGCAGGCCAAAAGTTTTTCCCTTCCATTCGCTTGCTTCTCGTCTCTGTCTTTTTTTCCTTTCTTTTTTTTGCCTTTCCGCCTCCTTTTGGCCATTACTTGGCCATTGATTTCAATTCCATTTCAGCCATTGGCTTGGCTCTGCTCGCTCTCTCGTACTCCGTTTTTTCCTATATGGATATTATTTAATGTGCAATTTAGAAAATATGTTAATTTTACTTCGGTTCTTGGTTCTCGGTTCTTGGCAAGCCACATGATTGAGGAGAGGCAACCAACAGCCAGCAGTCGGCGAACAAAATATTCAACTCGGTTTCAACTGATTTTTCGTGAATAAATTTTATTATTCCATATGCTGGGACAATTGAAAGTCTGTATATTGGGAGAAAAAAAAAGATTGCTGTCGAGTCAGCCGGGAAGGGGGCAGGGGCCGGTCCCCGGCTCTACTCTGTGTACTTTCAGGATCAATTTGGTTCAATATTCCTCAGTCCGTGTCCAGAATTTTAGTGGCGGCGGTACCGGATGCGGCGCACGGTCTTGTAGCGGTATCCGTCCTTGGCCAGCTCGGTTCCCTCCTCAGCGGCAGCCTTGGGCTCGGCCTCGACCGGTGCGGCAGCCTCGGCGGGGGGCAGGTACTCACCATTGGGGGCACTCTCGGCGGAGGCCTCCTCGGCAGCGACGGCGACCTCACGACGGTGGCGACGGAGCTTGAGGCGGCGCACGGTCTTGTAGCGGTAGCCATCATCGCCCAGGACGGTCTTCAGCTCAGGAGCCAGCGACACCTCAACGGGGGGCAGGTACTCGTTGCTGGGCTCGGCGATCTCGGACACATCGCGGCGGTGGCGGGCACGGAACTTGAGCTTGCGGACGGTCTTGTAGCGGTAGCCATCATCAGCCACCTTGGTGTCGCCGATGGCAGCAGCGTCGACTGGGGGCAGGTACTCCTGGCTGGGTGCGTTGTCCACTGGCGGCAGGTACTCCTGGTTGGGGACCTCACGGCGGTGGCGCAGCTTCAGTCGGCGCACGGTCTTGTAGCGGTAGCCATCCTCGGAGAGCTTAGCGGCCTCGGCGTCGCCCACAGGGGGCAGGTACTCTGCCGAGGGCTCCAAAGCCGCCGGATCGGCCGACTGGGCAGCTGCGATGGCCACCAGGCACAGAGAGAGGACACCGATGAAGAGTTTCTATAGAGAAAATGGGGAGGAAGGTTAGTTTTGTACTTCCAAGTGTGATCCCAAGGGTGGATTCACTCACCATTCTGAAGCTATAGTTCTTGTGGAGATTGGCAAACTATATTCGAACTGACTGAAGATGTTACTGTGTCGAAGGTATTGAACCCAATGATGTCTTGTTCCGAATCGCGTTGCGTATTTATAGCGAAATCCCCGATCGAAATCAGGTTTTATTACCAATCTCCGTGGTAGAAACGATCAACGTAATATGGAGCCAAGTCAAGTGTATGTACATTGTACATACATCGAAGCCATCAGCGGACTCTATTAACCACTTGGGCGATGTCGATGACGATGACGATGCCTTCGACTGGTTGTTGGCAACCAAAAATCAGTTTGGACGTGCTCCATTCGTAGACCGTCCCGTCCCGTCTGTCCGCCTTCGACTCGTTTTCGGCCACGCACTTGAGTAAAATTATTTTTGGATCTGGTTTTCATTCTGAAGTGTCTCTCCACATCTTGGACGAGTATCGCAATCATAATTTGTGAATGTTTCGATGATGGTAATGTGGATGGAACCATGGTTTTCCAAGCTATCCACTGATGCACACGCAACTTTTGTCGGGGTTTTCTTTCTTGCAGTCTCCCCATAAAGCAGCAACCTTAAGGAATGCGTTCCTCCTGGACTCCCACATTTTCTAGCAGTCCATGTACGGACAACACCACTAATTTTTAGCCACTTCACGAGTTCTCTGCTCAAGCATCTTGGCACAGCCTCTTGAGATGTTCTCCGACCTTGAACATTGCTACACATTCGGCAAATTTGTTTCCTACTCGGACGAGGGCCACTTGAGGCGGCTTTTTAGAATGATCGATAGCTTACTTGGACAATGGCAACGTTTTGTCAATCTTTTTCGAATTCTTATTCTTATTTAATTGCAATGACGAGCGAACAATGTGGCAGTCCTTAAAGAATATCTGAGAATTGGTATACAGAGATCCCTCCCACAGTGTCTATTCTTATGGTGCCCCCTCAAAGACTAAGAGACTCTTGGTTATTTTTGGCAAACTTCTGTGCTATTTATAAAGCATTCCAGCCATCATTACACGCAAAGATTTGTATTTGCTTTAGATTTACTTTAATATATGTATCTATAAATTTCTATAATTTCTATCCATCCATTTGAAAGCTATGAATGGGTGTTACAGTCGAATTCTGAGAATAATGTTTATTATCTTTGACAACGAACAGCAGACCACTTCCTATAGACTGTATGTTTCGATGTTTAGGCAATTATTTGAAGCAAAGCGATGAAAACCAAGTCTTTGGGAGTACTGAAGTCATATTTGATTGGTATATATTTCATGGGTATAATCTATGTGTCTGAAAGGGTATCTGAAAGCATCAGCACCTTGCTCTTCTTGTCCGCTAAGTGGTGCCATAAAATTTCGATTGGCACTCAACAAACACAGACAACAGGCAAATACAAATGATGACAGCGACAATCGGCAGGGCTGGCAGTAACAACAACAACAACATGAGTAATATGCAACTCGGCCAAAAATTATGTGTTAAACAGACTTCTGCCATTTAATTGCCGCAGCCCCCGTCCTGTTCTGGCCTGTCCTGTCCTGTCCTGTGACCCCTCTCTGTGGCCCTCTCTTTTGCAATCATTTGATTGCTGGATAAAGTACAATTGTTTGCGCTCGGCATAAGGACAATGGCCGGCGGTGCTCTCGGCAATCGGCCAGGACACCTTCGTGGGGATATATGTATGTTGTGCATTAAAACGAAATTAAATGGATGCCACTGATGTTGCTGTGGCAATTGTTGTTGTTGTTGATACTGTCATTGTTGCAACAAGCGTTGCTGCTGCTGCATATTTTATAAGCGACGAGCATATGCGAAAGAGGGGAGCATACTGTTTGCACTTCCCCTTTTCTGTTTTTCGGTTTTTTAGCCAATTTAAAACGCCTTTTGGAACGGGCCAGTTCGGCCTACAGGTCGTATGCGTAAAATCAGCAGAAATAACAGTAATAAATCGACAGTAAAGTGCAGAGAATGAGGTGGGGTGATGGGAGGGCACACAACGACAAGAGAGCATACCAGCACAATGGAAAAGTCTAGCCCTACTCGATGGGAGGTACCCCGATACCCTCCCTCTGAGTCGATACCTCTCTGATCTCATTGATCCAACGACCAATCTTAGAGAGGTAAAATGGTGATGATGAAGAGAGTATTATTTATTTATTGAAAAGGTATTCAATATTCAGCTGTTAATTTCTTACAGTACTTTATACACATGAATTTTAGTTGAATATGCAGTCCAGAATGATCAAGGGTCCAGATGTATGTATTGTATGCACGTATCCTATGATACCCTATGCGAACAAACGGTTGAAAGTGCATCTCTGTCCCGCGTTCCTGCCACTCCATACTCCATACTCCACCCCACCCCCCCTCTTTATCTGCTTATGCGTGAGCTCATTTGTTCCATGCATCACCCATGCAAATGTGTGTGTGCCTGTGTGTGTGTGTGTGTATGCCCTGCCTTTGACATTGCCGCAGCCTACGCCATGATAATGTGTCATTATATTAAAAGCTTTGCAAATACGCCACCTACCGGGCAAAGGTTGCACAACTGGCACTCCCTTGGCTGGCCCTGCCTCCTCTCAACCCAGCCCCACCCCTTTGTCTGCCCTGTGGGCTGAATACCGTAGCGCCGCCGCTTGGGCTAGAAATTTCATTAACGTTTCTGCTTTGTGGCTGTGTTGTGTTTGCCCATAAAACTAAGACGCCATTGGGAATATGCCTGAGAGCGAGTGTGCACAGTTTGTTGTGTTCGTGTGTGTTAGTGTGCTCGTGTGTGCGTTTGTGTGTGTGTTTGTATCTGTGTGTTTGCTGCCTTCAAGTGCAGCCAGCAAAGTAGGCAATTAATTTGTTAATTGGCGTGAATATTGTTAGTCAAATTGATGGCAGTTGACGAGACTAAATGGAACTCGAACGGAGAGTCGGACCCTGCCCCCGCCCCCGCTCTTGTCCCTGGCCTCCCTGGACCCTAATCGGATCCACCGAGCTGTGGAGACGTTTCAGCAGCAAATTGAGTTTTCGCACTGTGCCCCCACCCGCCCCAAAGCGTACTAATTTGGTCAAAGTCGAGAGGATTTTCGAATGGGGTAACATTGCTGGTAACAGTTGAAGCCAGGATTGCATTAATGAAGAGGCGATTGGGTGCGAGAGTTTCGCATTGGGGGTTACTCCTATCTACGCGCACATTTATCCTCCCGGCAGTTTATAACCCATCGGCATAACCCACTTAATGGCCCCATTACTCTCCATATTATATGATAACTTTTATTTTTTCCACCTTTATTTTTTTGTGAGTTGCGTATTTGCATTTAAAATTTTATGCATCTCTTTTTTGTCTTTTTGAATGCCACACATGTCGTTGATATATTTTTGTTACTGCCCTCCACGGGAGCCGGCATTTTATGGCCTTTTGATCTTTTCATTATGGTCATCAAAAAACATAAAGTCCTTTCCACCCGCGTCCTGGCCCCTAACTCGGGCTTTTGTTTCCGTTTCCCGCTCTGCTGATTTGATTTACACAAAATGCCAAATGCGATTTTATGGCCATGTTTGCTTTCCGCACATATATTTGTTGGGCTTGTTGCAAGTGCTGCGTCCACAAGAACCGTCAAACGGAAACCTACCGACTTAATGATACCCCCTGCAGGCTAACTATCAAACGAAACTTACAGTGCGGCTTGTGTGCGTAGACAGCAGGAAAAATGAAACAAAAAGTTTTATTTAATTGGTGCCGATCACTGGACCACACGTGTACGTGAGCGCCTTTTCCTAAGCACAATGGACAGGGCCGTGCCGACCCCCGCTTTGAAATGGGGTGTATAAGTATTTCTTATCTATTTTAAATAGATAATATTCCAGTTTCTAGATATATAATCCAGCTAAACTTTCATATCTTAGCCATATTGGTTCAAAAGGGGCCTTGAAACACAAATAATAAACTACCTATGACTTCCACAATCTCTCCCTTTTTCAACATCGGATCGGCTAAAGCCATATCGTTAGTGTTTTCACTTTTTTCGGGTGCAAAGACCTCAAGTGGGAGTCCAGGATGTTCGGTATGCTTTGTGCTTGTACAGCCACAACGATATTCAGTAAGTAAAAAAAATGCTTAATGAACACACAGGACTTCACGTTTTTCCATTTTCTCTTCAAATTACGAGGAAGTCTGCCATCAAAGGCTGTCAAACACACAATCCAAAAGACGCAGCTTCTTCAAGTTTTGACAGGAGTCTATTGATAAATGCCTGTCGACAGATGCAGAATTGTCCTAATCATTTAAGAGGTGGAAAATTCTAAAAGTCAGACTTATTGAACAGCTCTCGTATGTTCACGTCTTCGATATTTCCAATAGTTTGATGATCGATTCCGATCTACGAATAATATATATACCCTTGTACTACTATTCTACCGAGTACCCAGTACCCGGGTACAATAATCAAGAGGTGCGAACCATGCAACAGTGCGTATGATGAATTTGGTTAAATGGCTCGATGCGTCAATGTTTTGGCCGAAATCTAAAATGCCTTCTAACCACATTTCCCCATATACCGTATATACTATATGGATATACATATACATATATTGTATTTGTGTGTGTTTGTGTGGTTGCTCGAACAGTATATAGCACGCATTTTTGTTTGTTTTATCAACAGCACCTGCTGTGCGCAAATAAATAGAGAGAAACTGTGTGTATTTATTTAGTTGGTGCTGTTTTTGTTTTGATGAGCCACGTAAAATGCAATTAGTGTGGAAAATGTTGAAAATACTTGAAAATGTTAATTGAAAGTGAATGTATGCACGGTAAAAGGGATCACTGTATGAGGATTCAAGAACTCTTGCCCAGTTTTTGCGTAAAATAGATCCCCCCATGGCCCTCCATTATAATTATCCCCTCTGCAACTCAACAGCGGACCATCCAAGCGTACTCCGTGCTCCGTGCAAGGATCCGAGTTCATAAATGTCATGTCCTTGTATGTAGCACCTGTCATCATCATCGTCGTCATTTATACCAACATCCGGAATGCGCTTGGCCAGAAGCGTCATCATTACGACCGCACAACATGGTCTGCTCCCATTTTTTTCCACACGCTTAGCATATGTGGAAAATGTTGGCTTAATTCCCCAATTCACTCCTCCCCTGATTCCGGAGATGACAATTTTTTGTGCCCTCGTCGATGTCAAACAATATTTATATACTCGCACTCACATCCTTCCACTGGTCGCAATCGCAGTCGCAATCGCAATGGCAGTCGCATTCGCTTTCCCATTCGAATAATGCGGGGATTATTTTCTTAATTGATGTTGATCGGCCTATTATATGCACATGGCCCCGTCGCTTCATTTCGAGCCCCTCTATTTCATTTAATATTAAATTTTTTTAGGATATTACCAAGCTGTGGTCGCGCCAAAATGTATACGCGCTAAAAGTTAATTTGATTTTCTGACCGCATGTAAAATTTTGAACTTTCTGACTTTGACAAAACTGCGGATTCAAATTGCATTGGGCAATGGAGTGGAGGGTGGGGGGTGGTAGGCTTCGGGGGGCGGGGGCTTGGTGGCGCGGAAATGACGGAACCAGAATCATTAGCAATTTTGGTTTATATTCTATTTGGAAAATTTGAAATTTCAGTTAATTGGTTTGAAGAGTAGAATAGAGAGGGCTGTGGCTGTCAAGTACTGGATTTGGAAAACAGAAATGTTTGTGATGAAATAAATGAGCAATCTGCAGTGCCGTTTCAGCCCACAACTTGACTAATAAATATCAAATAAATAATGGAAAACTCTCAGAGGCAGCGGAACCGTACCGTCCCTCCCTCCCGCATTGCCCTGCTCTTTCGATTTAGTGATAGTTTATAGGCTTATGGAATATGCATGCAAAATGCAAATCAATATCCGGTGCGCTCTTGGGCGCTGCCCTTGATTGCGCGTTCACGTCGATGTTCCGCTTCCTGCTGCTCTCCGTGAGTTTTACAGGATTAAGCACTTAACAACAATTTTACGCACGCACTTTAAATTAATTATGCATTATTTATAAATAAATGAAATGCACACGCACCGAAAACTTTTGCAAATGATGCGCGGGACCCTGGACAACAGGAACTCCCTGCTGTGGTGCAGTTCGGTGCGGTGCGCGTACGGGGGATTTTGATGTTGAAAGCCGCAGGACGAACATGTTGCGCTTAAAATACTTTCCTAATTTTTCGCTAATATTTACCAGGTGGACGGATGACAGTCCGCTCCTCCATCCACCATCATCCATGCCGCTCCTGGTATGCTTGTTCGCTTCGGTTTCGTTTCGTTTGGTTTGGTTTGGTTTGGTTTTGCATTGTCTGCCCCCACCTCTGTCTCTCTGTCTGTCGGAAATAACAAATATTTAAACGTATTTAATTAAAACTCACAAATGAAACCACAAACGCAGAGCGCGCGCAATGAGCGGCCAAAATGGCAGGCGCATCCTCCCACAATCCTACCCTAATCCCATAGCCCTTGCCGAGCATTTATTGTTTATTTATTCACCTTTCAGTGCAGCTCTCATTGCATCGAATCTGATACTTTTAGGCCAAAATTTTATTTGAGCGCGATTGTAACGCAAATTGCATTGCATACTCGGAATGACACCCCCCCCTCCACGCCCACGCACACGCCCATGTCCAGCCCACGCGCCTACATTGAACCTTGCGATTCGATGGAGTGGAAGCGGCATTCGAATGGAAATATAGCGCTTTAATGGGGGCCAGAGATCGGCCACTCGTCAGCATTTATACAAGACAGACATTCCCACGACTCTTGAACTACACTTTTAACGCGAAGAGAAGATAGTTCATTCGTTGCGGTATGATATAATAGTCAGTCGATTTCCATTCAATTTGACTGCCGTTGGTAGCGTTTGGTTGGATCATCTTCAATTTTCTTCGAAATATCTGGCTTATCTATCGATTCTATCGGATATAGCGGTACAATAGTGGTCCAAAACATAATATTCTTTCGCTAGGGCATAAAAGGCGAGGATATGACGCTATAGGTGCATGTTGCATGCTCGATTAGATACATAATACCTACCGGCAGAGGGGGGCTGACCCACTTTATTCTCCCTTATGTGTATGTATTTTCGGAGGATATAAATCGAGCAAGGTATCCGTGTTTTTGCCTGCGGTGCAGTTTCGTACAACAGCAACAACAACAACAACAACAACAGGAACAGGGAAACAAAACAATTTCATTTAAGAAGAATTTCAATTCAATTAGCAATAAGCTGCGCGGTCTACGAGGACGAGGGCCGTTCTATGGTCGGCACTGAATGCAGTATCCGGGCCCAATTCTCTTATAACATGAACATATTATTATTAGGATCTAATTTCCGAAAGCTGATTAAAATATAAAACAAAATGGACACGAACATTAGGATGGAGTAGCAATTGTTTTGTCTCAAACATTGGTATTCCCCTCCTTCCTTTTATTCGGATACGAATGAACCCATCCCCAGCTTCTGGTCCTCAAAAAGACAATGAAGCCAACACAAACTTTACTCATCTTTTCACAGCTTAAATATGGCAAGGAAACGTATTAAATTGTAAGGAATGAGTGCCTGATTAAACTCAGCTCTCAATATTGTTGTCTCTATACATAATTTTCATTGAAGGCTCTCCTCTCGCGCCTTCAGTATTCCATCAGTTCTCTCATACTATTAGACGCATCATCTTGTAACAGGGCCAATAATATATTTTCTGGATGTGTGAAAAAGGATTTTCTGTGCATGCCTACCAATGCTCTTTAGTCCATCTCTAAAATATAAACATATTTTGCCAAAAAATCCTAGCCGAACCAGCTGCATGACGAAATTGGCCAGTTCCTGTAAGGATTGTGTTGGTTTAGCTAACCCACTAACAGAATGTCTCCGGGTCCCTGGGTATCGGCGAGGTTTGTGAGACAATGATTGCTGAAGCAATCGCGCACCTTGCCTATGTTTCCAGTAAGGCTTTTAAGGCCTGTTGTGATACCGTCCACAGAAGTAAAGAAATGGCCAAGTGGTAATTCACCAGCACACAAGCCACTGTAAGGTCTATTAAGGTTTCTTTCCGTTTTTATGTCCAGTGCTCAAAGCAGTTCCATCACATCCAATTTGCACAAGAGGAGAACGATATTCATACGGTTTCTCCAAAAGGTTGACAATATTATTTCCAATTGTGGCTGCTTTTCCAGAAGCAATTGAAAGATTACTGATGGATTGTGAATCCAGCTCAGATATTCAGTGATAGTTTTTCCAGACGAAATGTTTTCAGAATAGTTCATAAATAAAGTTGGGAGTCTCGACGAATCTTATGCGATTATTATTTATGTTTTAGTTCTTATTTTTTATCTTATTTTTTAGCGAGAAGCCAAAGAATTTGGAATCGAGGCAGCGTGCACATTCAGTTTGAAAAATAAACTTATATTGGGGTATGAAATTCCAGCTATTTTCATGCGGAAACTCAAGATGAAGTGATTGAAGCTTAATGTTTTCAGACAATTCTTATTTTTATGAAATCATTGATTAACAAAACACGAATACAAGTTTCCCTCCATCTTAAAAAGTTAAACATTGCATACTTTTGGGCATATGTATGTAGAATACCGTGTAGAAATACATAAGTGTCAATTGTTTTGCGCGTATGTCAATGTAAATGTAAAAGTCATGTATTAAATTCTTGAAATTTTTTAAATAAATATAAAAAATACATATGTGTATGTATGTAAGACTCGAAATATGTTGCTATTAATCGTATATGACCATATATTACCACCGAAAATACTTCTTAGAGCGACTAACTCTGTAGAGTACCAGGGGCTATTGATTACCCAGCAGCTGGTGGAAAAAGAGAAAGCGAAGAAAAGGAGATTTTGTGCAAAAGCTCTTCCTTCAATTGCTACAATGGCAGCGTGTGAAAAATTGCATTTTTCCGCATATGTGCACAGCAAAGACACAAAAGTCAAATTACAATTCCCTCTCTGAATATCCTCTTTGCTGGCTATAGCTGGATAGCCGCCCCCAGTCCACTCCCCTCCCTGCCCTTCGCTTCGTTCCATTCCGGCTCCACGTAAGCATTTGATATGCTTTTAAAATGCATAAATTAGTGCTGGGGAAAAGATTGAAATAGAAGGGGTTAAGAGAAAATCCGGGCAAAACAATTGTATTTTCTCAGTGGACGCCTTTGTCGACCATCCCTGCTGCTCAACCAATCCTCCACTTGGCATATTCAGGATCCCCATCCCCATTCGAACTCGTACTCGAATGTGTGTGTTTGTGTGTGTGTGTGTGTGTGTAAGAGTGGGGGTGGGTAGGGTCTCCTCTGTTTGCTTGCATTATCCCAAGCAACTTTTGTCTGGCTTTTTGGCTCTGAGTTGCGAATTTTTTCGACCCGCTCCGACTATTTACTCTTCAAGTTTCCCCAGGCTTAGAAATTAGAGGAGGAGGAGCAGGCCAAAACAGCGGTGTGGGGTCCAGATTCTTTGGCATTTAACTAAGCTGGTTAGCAAACAGTGTGGAGTCGCAGTCGCAATCGCAGTCGGAGTCGGAGTCCAGTCCAACAGTTGCCAACAAAAAAAGCAGAAATGCATATGGAAGAGGCTGCAAAGTTTGTGAGAGCCTGAAACAGACGCATAAGGATATGGCACTCATGAAGAAGTTTCTACGCTCTGGGGACTGTACTCCTTTATTTCGTTGCGCTATTCCTGGATAAATACTTTGTGCAGCAACATAGGTACACGCATAATCCCGGCACAAACAAACCATTAAACCATTAAGACAGCAATTTCAATTAAATATCTCATCCGTTTTGTGATGAACAACATTTGGATTTTATTAAACAAGCAAGTGGGCAAAATTCGTATCTGGTTTCTGGTGTTTTGGCAAAGTATTAACAATTGTGGAAAGGAAAGTAAAGGCTTAGCAGCTAAAGAGCTTAAATACTAAGTGCAGCTTATGGTGGTACAGGTTGCACGAGCAGGCATCTGCGATGACATAAAATAGTAGTTGGCTAGTTTGCTACAGTATTTCATTTACATTA